CGTATTTCCTACGCCAGGGAAGGGGACCGACCTCAGCCCTTGTGTCTGGAGCCTTCCCCCCCCTACTCATGGCTCTGGGGGTCTCCTCGTCCCCTGTCCCCTACTCACGGGAGTGGGTTCCTCTTCCACAGCAGCACCCGGCTGTCCTCGGCCTCGTGGGCTCTCTGCCGACCCTCCGCTCCGTTGTCCCCACTGCCCAGCGTCACCTTGTAGCAATCCATCTTCTCATCCCAGGTGCCCAGCAAGACAAAATGCACCTTCCCCGTGGGGTCCATCACCTCCCCGGTGACCTGCGGAGACAGGAGGCGGCCCAAATCGGGACACCCGAGAGCCACAAGCACCCCAGCGCGTCCCACGCCACCCGCCCAGCCTCCCCACCTTCCTCGCCACGTCCCGTGAGAAGTAGCTGTAAGGGACGAACTTGAGGTTGCACTTGTCACCCGTCTTGTGATTGACGATCTCGATTTCACCCGACTGCAGAGGGGACGAGGACACGGTCAGATCCCACCCACGGACCTTGTGCCGGTGGCGGGAGATCCACGCCTCTTAAAAACATAAAAAGGTCCTGGGGAGCCCCGCTGTCAGGGTTTCATCTCACCTGGTCTATCCAGAGCTTGCCCACGATGATGTTGTGCACGGTGTTTGTGACCTTTTTCCATGTGTAGTGGTTGCCCGAAGAGTTGAAGACGCAGTGGATGGTACCTGAGAAGGGAACGCTGTGTCAGGAACGGTCCCTGGAGCCTGGGGTGGTCCCCAAACCTGCCCTGAGGCCGCAGTGCTCACCCAGAGGCATGATGGAGAGGTATTTGCCCCGAAATTTGCTGGTGATTTTGATTTCCTGCCGAAGCGTCCAGCAATTTTGGTGGTGATTTTGTTCCCCTCCCGAAGCGTCCAGCCGTGTTTGGAGTCGGCGTGGGGGGCGGCAGCCGGGGGGTGGTGGCTCACCTGGTCAGGAGAGGTGACAAAGGTCAGCGCCGGCCACCTGGAGTGAGCCAAGGGGCCAGAGGAGCAGGGCTGGGGGGTTACCTGCTCGCAGAGGGAGCGGTACCCGTTCTCCTCCAGCCGATCCAGCTCGAAGGTCTCCCCCAGGAGGGGGTTGAAGGGTTTGCTGGTGCGGAAAACGGTGGTGGAGTAGGAGGAGACGGTGAAGGCAGCCACGTAGCACAGCTGCTCCAGGGAACTCTCGCATTTGGCCGCGCGGTCGAGGAGCTCGTGGTACTCCAGGTCTTCTGTCAAGCGCTGCAGCATGGACAGGGGCTCGTTGAAGTTGACCTGGAGGGGAGCGAGAGATAAGGAAAAGGGGTCCCTGGGGTGCCCCACGCTCCCCCCACCATCTGTGTTCCCACACACCGGCATGGGGATCTTGGACAGCTCCTTCCCGATGCAGTTTTTCATGATGCTCCAGAGGTTGAGGCTGTAGTTGGGTTTGTAGGGGATGCGGGTTCTCTTCTCCTTCTTGGTGTCCTCTACCTGATGCTTGTACTGGGGATTAGGGGGTGAGATGAGGGTGACTGAAATGCTGTGACCCCCCCCACACCCCTCCATGGGCACCAGGGCACCCCCCAGCCCAGCTCTGTCCCCTCAGGAACCAGCACGTGACACTGGTGGGATGTCCCCGTCCTACCTGCTCGTCCAGGCCGATGTCACTTTTTTTGTAATGTTGCTGCCGGTGCGCCTGGGGTGGGGGGGAAGAGGGGCAGAGTCGGTCCCCAGTGGGGTTTTTTTGGGGGGTGAAAGGGCAGCCCCGTGCCCCGGTCACTCACTTGTGACCCATGCTCTCTGGTACGGTGATGATCTCTGGGGCGTCGAAGAACTCGTTGTCATCGTCCTCATCGCTCAGGTCTCCTTTTGCGGGGCAGCACGGATCTGGGGAGGACGGAGAGGGCAGGTAAGGCAGCGAGGTCAAGGCTCCTCCCAGTTTCCACCAGTGAGGCACTGGGGGGTCCCCCATCACCATCAGCCAGTCAAGGGGCCACACACCAACCCCTGCTGCACTGAGGAGTGGGAACAAAGCTTAGGAATAGCAGGGACAAGAACAAGGAGATTTTGTCTGTGGGAGGGCACCCAGCTCTTTGCTGTGGGTGCCGCAGCCGCTCGGCCATGCAGGAGATGCCAGACTGACCCCATCACTGCGGGACAGCGAGGCCAAGGGACTGGGAGCAGCAGGGACTGACCCAGGACACAGCGCTGTTGGCTTCCCCCATCCCACACTGTCAGCTTCATCTCACCCCACCTACTCCCCTGAAACAAGTCCCCAGCGCAGGGGCCCTGGGTGGCCCAGCAGTACCTTTGGCAGAGCCGCTGGTGCCGGGCGCGCTGGCGGAGAGGACGGTGGCACCGCGGAAAGCTCTCTCCAGGTGGTTGTGCTGCTTGGCCAGCTGCTCCAGCGTCTCCTCCAGTCGGATGCGCTGGTCCCGCTCGTGCTGCAGCGATTTCTGCCACTTCTTGCTGTGGGTCTGCGCCAGCATCAGAAAATCCCGGCAGGCCTACGGGGAGAGGACGCCCCATCAGCGCCCAGTCCACGTACGAGGATCAAGCACCCCACGGGACCCCCCGCCTCGCGCCACGAGCTGGGGTGCAGACTCACGTTGATCATGGCGTTGGAGGTGATGCGGAAGAGGGTGGCGCGTTCGTTCACTTGCTTGATCTTCTCGGTGCTCTCGGCGGGCAACCGGAGGGTCTCCAGCTCGCTGAGGGATCGCTGCAGGGCCGTGCCGTGCTTGGCGATCAGGTCGTTGCAGGTGCTCAGGTCCTCCACCTTGCTGGACAGGGTGCGCAGCGTGCTCTGCAGCTCCGTCTTGTCCGTCTGCGACACCGACTCGTCGCCAGAGTCATCTGCCAGCGGGAAGGGACATTAGCGTGGCTCCGTGGGGTCTCCCTCCCCTCCCAGAAGATGGGGAAGCAGCGCAAGCTGGGAGCAGCAGGAGCGTCTGTCCTCGGAGCCACGGCAGGCTCTGACCCGCAGCCTCCACCCTCGATTCCCTGAGGGCTAGGAGCCAAATGTGGGGTACTCCACATACGTCCATACTGGACG